ATGAGAAAGAGGTTGGAGTCCTGGCAGGGATCACAGAGAGGAGGACTGTTAGGACATGGTTTAGCTTCCTCTTTCTCCTCCCTCACGATTCCTGTGGATGACAAGATTGAGTCAGAGCAGAAGAAGCAGCAGCAGTTAGAATTGGCAAGGGGGTGGGGTGGGGATGTTAGCAGTAATAGGGGTTCTGTAACCAAGCAGGGTAAGATTTGCTCTCCTTTTTTCTTCCTATTCTTCCTCATTTCTTTTCCCCTTCTCCCTTCCTACTGCTGAGTTAGGTCTAGAAAAAAAAATGATTGCTAAAGGTCAAGATAAAAGCTTCAACCTCAGGGCTGCCTTAGTGATGACTATTGGAGTTTTCCCTTTCCTTCTTGGTCAAGGAACCCCAATAGAATAAGAGGTAAGAGCAATGATGACAAGAGTCCTATTGTAATAAGAGAAGGTGGTTTTCCTTTCCCTTCTCCTCCCTTCTTTGTTGCCTCTGACCAGTTTTGTGATGTGTTAAGGAACTCAGAGTAGTGTTGAGGGAAGAGGTTAGGGAAAAACATATCAAGGAGGGATGACAAGTCCTCTTCTTCCCTTTTCTCTGTCTTTATCTATACCTTCTTTCTTATCACTGAAGGCCATAGATCCCAATACCAGTTGGTCCTGGAATAAGATGAGAAGTATTTATCTAGTGTGAGGGTTGAGTCCCAAGAAGGGTTGGGAATAGCAGTGGCAAGCAGGAAAAAGTTAGAAAAGACCAGGGAAATCCCCAGTAGCATAAGGGAGAAAAAATGGTCTTCTGGCGGCTCCCTAGGTAGGGCAACTACATGGGTAAAGGTGTTGTTCAACATGGCTCAGTCTAGGCAGCAGCAGTGTGAGACTAATCTAAGGTATGGTACCATGGGTCTGATACCTGTTAATCTCAAGGATACTACTTTCCTCTCAATCACCCAGGTTTGCAACCCTGGGGATGACTGAATCTACCATCACAGCTCCCAGAGCTCATAGCCCATAGACAGTAAGGAAGAGAGACAACTGGTCAGAAGGAGATTACTGCGGACACTTTGCTGGCAGTGGATGTATTATTCTGTTGCATTGCCCATTTGGCAATTCGGGTCACAGTCCTAGGACAAGGAGGAGCACTAATGCAATGGGAGAACAGGGACCCTGGACACAGTTACAGGGCAGAAAAGAGTGCTTGTGGTTGCTCACAGACCAGAGCACAGGCCAGGAGAGCATTGACTACACCTTTCCTTAAATCGTACCACGTTGGAAGAGCTAAAAATTTACAGACCCCCAGAACTAGCTCTGAAAACAGCAGTCAAAAAACCCTGACTCATGGGACAGTGCCCACTCCACCCTGGGAGCAGAGCCCAATTAAAGGTCAAGTTAAAGGTCAAGAAATAGACTGGAAAAAATGAGCAAACAACAACTACAAAAGAACCTGACCATACCAAGATACCTGAAGACAGGGAAGATCAAAACACAAACTAAGAAGAGGTCAACGATGTCAAAATGGCTACATTCAAAACCTCAAAGGAAAATGTGAATTGGTGTCAGACCCAAAAAAGAATTCCTGGAAGAGTTCAAAAAGGGTTTTTAAAATCAAATAAGAGAGGTAGAGGAAAAACTGAAAAAAAAAATGTGAGTGATACAAGAGAATCATGAAAAAGAGTCAGCAGCTTGATAAGGGAAGCACAAAAAAAATGGGAAAAAATGTTCAAAAATTCACTGAAGAAAACAGCTCCTTAAAAAAGTGCAATTGGCCAGATGGAAAAGGAGGTGGAAAAAAAACTCACGGAAGAAAATAATTCCTTAAAAATTAGAATTGGGCAAAAGAAGACGGATTTTAAATTCGCTGTTGTCATTCAGTCTTTTCAGTCATGTCTCATTCTTTATGACCACATTTGGAGTTTTCTTGACAAAAATACTGAAATAGTTTGCCATTTCCTTCTCCAGCTCATGTGACAGACGAGAAAACTGAGGCAAACAGGGTTAAGTGATTTGCCCAAGGTTATAGAGCTAGCAGGTATCTGAGGCTGGATTTGAAGTCACAAAGATAACTTCATGACCCCAGGTACTGCACTCTATCCACTGTACCAGCTAGCTGAAGGGGATGGCAAATTACTGAGTAACAATTTCTAAAAAACTAATATAGAGTAATGGATTCTTAAAACCACCTAACAGCACAGAACTGAAAATATTTGCATGTTAGGAGTAAATTAAGCACTACTCCACAATACATAAAAAAGCACACAAATATATACGTGAATAATTTTCTGCTTAGTCAAATAGAATCTTTTTTTTTAATCAGGTGACTTCCTGCCCAGAAAAAGGACTGACCCAAGAAACCAGAGATGTGCTTAGAAATGTTTTAACAAGTCCTATTTCTGCCTTTATCTCACCCCAAATATTTGCCAGCTTGCTCTTTGCCCTATTTTAGTCTCTCCCTTCTCTCTTTTTTTCATTTCTCTTCCTATAGTTCTCAGGTTATTAGCCCTCCGATTTCCTTCTCTTTTCTTCCCTCTATAATAAAACTGTAATGTGTTGGGGAAAAATATTGGAGTTAGAGTTAAAACACCTAGGTTTGAATGCTGCTTCATGTTCTCCTTGTGACCAAGGTCCCTATTTCCTTGTGTATAAAATTAGGGGATCTGGGGCAGCTAGGTGGTGCAGTGGATAGAGCACCGGCCCTGAAGTGGGTGTTCTCAACCTTCCAGGTGTTCTAGGTGTTCCTTAACCTTCATGCAAAGCCGCTTTCTATTACTTTCTCATTCATAGGATCATAGATTTAGAACTGAAAGAGACCTTGTGTTGTTGTCCAGTTGTTTCAGTTGAGTCCAACTCTTTGTGACCCCATTTGGGCTTTTCTTGGCAAAGATACTGGAGTGGCTTCCCATTTCCTTCTCCAGCTCATTTTACAGATGAGGAAACTGAGGCAAACAGCATTAAATGACTTGCACGGGGTCATACAGCTAGTGTCTGAGACAGGATTCAAACTCGGGTCTTCCTGATTCTAAGTCTAGTGTTCTGTCCCCTATGCTAACTAGCTGCCAATTTTTTTTGTTATTGTTGTTTTTGGTTTTTTAGACACCAATGTTTAAGGAATTTTTTTGTGGCTAAAAGTGCTTCATATATTTAGGTGTGAGAAGGCATTTCTGAATCTCTTCAGCAGCTATTATTGAATAGTAGTAGGAAGAAGGTTGGTGAGATGAATGGAAACCTTAATATATAGAGCCAATCCACTGAAGGCATCAGAGATATTTGACTTGAAGAAAAAAAGAACTTGAGAGGAAGAAATGACAACAGTCCATGGGGCTGTTGTGAGGAAGGCCCTTACCATAAATCTCTGTAGAAATCTGAGTTGTTATCATCATCACCAGGAGGAGAACTCGGACTTGTTTGTACTACTCTACAGAGGCCAGAATGAGGAGCAATGGTTAGAAACTGCCAAGAGGCAGGTTTTGGTTCCAACATAAGAATAAACCTCCTAACAACCACTGATGCCCAAAAGCAGAATGGGAGGTGGTGGGTTCCAGCCCACTAGAGGTCAGTCTTTAGGAGACAGCTGGATTGTCCGAGATGCTGCAGAGAGGGTTTCTTTTCACATACCACTGGGGCTAGTGGCTTCTGGCTTCCCATCCAACTCTCTCGTTCAGGAGCAGGGAGTGAGGGACTGGGGCTGTTGAGAATTTTTAGCAGGGGACTTCCAGGGTCACACATGTAGAAGGCTGATCAGAATTAGTTAAAAGTCAGAATTAGAAAATATTTTAACAGAAATACAATTTTGTTGTTTTCAAGTACAAGCAAGAACACCTGATCTAAAGTAAAACTTGTTGCCTCAGGGCAGCTAGGGGATGCAGTGGATAGAGCACCAGTCCTGGAGTCAGGAGGACCTGAGTTCAAATCCGGCCTCAGACACATAACACTCACTAGCTGTGTGACTCTGGGCAAGTCACTTAACTCCATTGCCTAGCCAAAAAAATCCCAAAAACCTTGTTGCCTCATATAGGACCTTCTGAGACCTGCTTTCATGAGAACACAAAAATGCTTGGTACTTGGCACCTAGAATTTTGTGGGGGATCTGGAAATAGTGCAATATTAAAGTCCTAGAGTTTGGTTAAATCTTCCTACATCCTTATTTGTAGGGAGTGGCCAGATGGATATAGTAGATAGCATGGAAGAAGGAAGACCTCAGATTCTTAATAGCTGTGTGGCCCTAGGCAAGTCCCTTAACTTGCCTCAGACTCAGTTTCCTCATTTGTAAAACGGGAGTGGTAATAGCACCTACTTCACAGAGTTGTTGTGAAGATTAAAGAAAATGACATGAAAAGGGCTTTAGAAATCTTAAGCTTGAGGCAGCTAGTGGCACAGTGGATAGAGCCCCGGCCCTGAAGTCAGGAGCTGAGTTCAAATCCAGCCTCAGACCAAACACTTGACACTTACTAGCTGTGTGACCCTGGGCAAGTCACTTAACCCCAGTTGCCTAAAACAAAAAACAAAACAAAACAAAACAAAAAAACCCAAAAAAGAAATCTTAAGCTGGTACATAAATGCTAGCTTATTATTGCAACTGGTGTTACACTGGATAGAATGTTGGACTTAGTGTTTAGGAAGATCTAAATTCAAAACCAGCCTCAAACTCTTACTAACTGTGTGACCCTGAATAAAAGTCACTTAACATCTATCTGCCTCAATTTCCTTACTGGTAAAATGGGAATAATAATAGCACCAATCTCCCAGGGTTGCTGTGAGGATTAAATGCAATATTTTTAAAGCACTTTGCATACTTTAGAATCATATATAAATGATATTATTATTATTATTATTATTATTATTATTAGTGAGTAAATTTCACAATAAGTTCAGACATGACAACAGGTCAGTTTGAATTTAAATCATCAAAATAAAAAATTGATGTAAGGAGTCCAAATGACTGAAAGGTTTTTAAATATAGCTTTGGAAATTAAAAAGGATTCAAATTGGATTATTTGTCTAATTAATATGCATATTATTACCTGAAGCAGTATAATCCCAGTCATAAAAACTTAATACAAAATAATTGATTAAAAGCAATAAAAATCCAGAAAAGGTAAGCAAATTAGGTGCAATCCACAGTGGCACTATCTGAAAAATACAAAAAGGACAGAAAAATCATATTTAAAATTCATGAGAATGAAAAGCAACAGTGAGTTAGATGTTAAATCAGTAATTCAGGTACCACCCACCAACAAGGAATAAAGTGAGGTACATGTTACCTGGGTACATTATACAATTATAATGTTGCATAAAATGGTAAAGATTTAGTTATACCAATGAATTAATCATTAGACATTGTCAAACAGAATTATAATCAATATTCAATAAGATTAGCTTACTGAAACAAATTCAATTACCAAAAAAAGTTTTGTTTTGTTTTTTTACCAAAAATTCCCAAGCCTTACTTACTAGCCCATTATGTTTAAAGCAGCAAAATTCTAAACAAAATAACTTAAACAGTTTCTTCTGTTCACAATACAGATTTGAATTTTAAGACAAATTTAAAATATAGTGGCTACCATAAACTTTTTGAAGGGGAAAAAATAATACCATCATAAAGAAACTGTGTGAATACATTTCAGGACTCAAGTTCCACTGCTTTCTAAAATATGAAAATGTGTTTTCTTCTAACTCCCATGTTTCTTATTCATAAAACAATCTGTAAAATGAGGGGATTGGACTAGACATTATCTAAAGTTACTTTTAGCTCTAAATTTATAATGCTAGAAGGAGTATTCTAGTAAATATTTAACAACCAGCTCTCGGGGTAGGGGACAGGAGTACACAAGACATATTTTACTGCATTTTAAACATTTTTTCCATCACTTTCTTAAGTCTAGACAATCGACAAACCAATAAATCAGGCTATAGCTTTGCTGATTTCTGAAGTGAAAATTTTCACTCTGAAAATTTAACGATCAGAACCAGTGCAACCTAGCTCCAGCACCCCATTGCTTGTAAGCTTGTATTGTGGTTAAACTTCACTGGATAATCAGAATGATGCCAACCTTTTGGGTTGGCATCACCATTTCCTTTATCTGTGCAAGGAGGTAGCTGATAAAGCATGAGAGGAACTGATTTTTAAAAAGAAAAATGCAAGAAGTGGCAAACTACTCTCCCCAATCTCTCAAAAGAATGAAAGCATCAATTCAACAAACATTTATTAAGTGCCTACTGTGTGTCAGGAAGAACATGAGGAATCAACCTGGGGATCTCCCCAAGTCTAGCTGCAATTTAAAATGATGAGTCACAGAAAGCTGGTAAGTCACTTTCCAAGGATGACATAATGGAGCCACATGAGAATAGGATGACAGCTATCCACCCACAATAAACTGCATTGGGCCCCACAATCAACCTTCTGGACACTTTTGGTTTAGTTAATAGCTGTGTGAACTGGGGGACAATAGTTAAAGCATGAAGCCTTCCTAGAACAGTGATTTCCAAGCCCACAATAATCCGTCATCTTCCTGTGAATAACAGTAACTGTACTGTTACAACAGTAATTACTGTAGTACATCTTCTAGTTTAAGTCTTAAGTTTAAGGTGACTTTAACTAAAGTCACTTTCAATATATTGTATTTTAGGAACACGAATAAAAATGTTGCCAATTTATATTCAGCCACAGTAATGAGGCTATATAGTAAGGATTGCATTGATTAATTACAGGTAAATAATATTTATGAAAAAATGAAAAGTCACCTTCCTTATTGATTCCCCCTTTATAACATCTTACATATAAATATTCTTTTTTAAATTAATTTATTTTGATTTATCAATAATACTTCCATAAGCTTTTGAGTTTTAAATTTTCCTCCCCAAGATGGCATGCAATCTGATATAGGCTATACATATACATTCCTATTAAACATATTTTCATATTAATAATTACATACAAATATTCTCAATGAGATTATAATCTTACTGAGGGCAGGAGTTTGATCTCATATGTCTCTAACTCTTCTTTTCTGATTCCCATTATCCTCCTAGTACATGGTACAGTTTGTGTTACACATAGTAAGTACCTAATAAATATTTGATGAATGAATGAATGAGTGACCACCTCAGAAATAAACTTTAGAAGCAGTTCTGATTATTAATAACTTTTTTAAAAAGAACCACAATGTAGGAAATGATGTCCTCCCTCTTATCTTTCATAAACCAAAGAAACTTGCCATTTTCCTTCACAAAATAAAAAATAATTCCTCTAATGTTTATGAAAGAATGAAAAGGATAAAGGAAGACTATATAGATATACAGGGAACAATTAGTAAATACAGCTCAATGTCTCCGGAGTACAAGAACTGAGTCTTATAGAGGTCAACAAGTTGAGGAACTGGAGGGAAAGTAGAGCAATGGTAATAAAATATGCTTCCAAGGTACTAGCTGTCCTAAGTCTACTGATACTTGTAATTACAATAAATTAAACTTCAAAAGTATTTTTTCTTCTGTTTTGAGGATGAAGGAGAATTAGGTTTATTCTACCAGTTATTTGTTTCCAAATTGATACCTCTTTCTTTGGTTTCATCAACATATCAAAACAACTAAGAAAATAAAACTTAAAATGTGTTATCATGCTTACCTTAACTATTCTGTTCCAGAGGTGCTGCATAACATACACTGATAAAGGATTTGTATCTACAGCACTATACTGTGAAAAAAAAAGAAGAAATAGAAAAATTAGTGCCACATAAAAGTGAAATGATGAATATTTTAATTCAATTCACCACAATTTAAGTGCCTACTAAGTGCTTAGTATAGGTGATAACAAAGATAAAAATCAAAACAATCTCTGCCCTCAAGGAAGAGGGTATATACAACCTGTATAGAAAGAGAGGTAAATACAAAGTGATTCCATGGGGGAGAGAACTAATAACTGGAAAGATTAAGGAAGAAGCTACTTAAATCCTCTTACTCTAAAAAAAAGACTCAGTCTTATAGATGAAAAATATTTTGCTTAATTATTTTGTGATTGTTTAAAAAGATGCTAAAAGAATTTAGCATATACATGGGGTAGGTGGGAGGAAAGTGATCAATTAATTTTCTCCCAGCCTGGTAAATGAAATCAAGGAATGTAAGGGGAGAGTGACTCATATAGGTGTTAAGGTTTTAAATAAAATTAAAAGAAGTATCTGTACTTCCTTACCCCTTTAATAGGTATGATGATGTTCTTCAACCAAACTTGATATAATTAGAGAGCAGCCAACCATTGACTGGTCAAGTCCCTGGTGGTCCTTTAAAAGGCAAGACTTACTCTAGCACTGAGGCAGGAGACAGCTCTGAGGAGTGTGCCCTTTGGCAGCAGAGAAGAGAGTAAGAAATAGGAAAAGAACCCAGCTTTTGAACGGACGGCTAAGTGGTACAGTGGATAGAGCACCAGGCCTGGAGTCAGGAAGGTCTGAGTTCAAAGTCAGCCTCAGATACTTACTAGCTATGTGAACCTGGGCAAGTCACTTAATCCTGTTTGCCTCAATTTCCTCATCTGTAAAATGAGCTGGAGAAGGAAATGGCAAACCACTCCAGTATTTTTTGCCAAGAAAAGCCCAAATGGGGTCACAAAGAGTCAGACATGACTGAACAACAACAAACCAGCTCTTGAGAGGGAATGATTTTTGTCTTTTCTCTTGGCCATCTTCCAGAAGACATATGAAGGGAGGGGACATGGTGGTAAGGGAAGGGAGGAGGGAGGAATTTCTCTTGTAGAGCTGTTCACCTTGAAGGAGACATTACACTTGGCAGAGAACAATCCTGATCAGTCAAGGCATAAGACCAGAGCTTAATGACTTAAGGGATAGTTCCAGCCATCGGAGAACTCTGAGCCCAGGGGGAGCAGCATGAGAACACCATGAGAAGAGAAAATCATCTCTCAGGTACTAAAGGTATGAATGCCCTGAGCCATCTGTGTTCCCTAAAGGTGTGTGCCTCTATACTAACGTGTATTGTTGTTCATCCTTCCATCTTGAAGAGGACCAATGACATCACAAGGGTGATGTCTTACCTTGCATGTGAATTAGATTTAAGTGAGACAGAGCTGTGCAAAGTCATCAGTCTCATTCTCTCTTCCAGAGTCATGGAACTTAAGACAAAAGTCAGGATGCCTGGAGACAGCCAAGGATGCAGTGGATGACCCTGGCATCTTCGATGTCTGATCAGTCTCTAAGCACTCCACAGCGCTTGCTTCATCTGCCTTCATGGCCATTGAAACAAATTGTTTTCATCTACCTATTCTGCTGGGGGAAGTCTTCACATGTTTGGAGTAGGCATCTCCCTAACTCACCCAACTTGCCCATTACCCTCAATCTGATTTAGCCCATCTGCCAAGATGGTTTTACCAGGTTATATATAGGTGCATCTGCTATTTCCACTGATGCTATGTGAATCGGTAGGAGAGTGTGTCCCAGGTTGGTTCCCTTACCGCCATGTCCCCTCCCTTCAGATGTCTTCTGGAAGATGGCCAAGAGAAAAGATAAAAATCATTCTCTCTCAAGAGCTGGTTTGTTGTTGTTCAGTCATGTCTGACTCTTCGTGACCCCATTTGGGGTTTTCTTGGCAAAAAATACTGGAGTGGTTTACCATTTCCTTCTCCAGCTCATTTTACAGATGAGGAAATTGAGGTTGGGGCATGGTTGGAGAAAATATTTTGTAATTATTGTTCCTCTTCCTTAATTACAAAATTAGTGACTCTTTGATTTGACCATAACCTCCCATCATTCCAATTTACCTTGTTCCTCACCCCTCCTACATATTCTTCACTCTCAATAGGGCCTCAAATCCCTCTACCCTTGAGGACTATTTTTTCCCAGACCACTGCTCTGACTTAACTTTCCTCCTCTTCCAATCTCAACCCTATAGTTAGCCATTTCAATTCTACACTGTCCTCTGTTCTGGAACTCTTTGCTCCCTTGTCCTATGAAAGCTCACCTCAGCTTGGGATTACTCCCACCCTTCTCAATGGCTGCTGACTAGGGCCAGAAGATGTTTCACAACTGTACTGATTGGGTACATTATAAATTCACATTATCCAACTTGAACGGGACCCTCACTACAACAAGGCAGTCTTTTTATAGTTAGGTGATGAGAAATCAAATCAAGTCCCAGATACTTATTAGCTGTGTAATCCTGGGCAAGGCACTTAACACCTGTGCCTCAATTTCCCCATCTGTAAAGGTTGTCAAGAGGATCAAATGAGATAATATTTGTAAAAGCACTTAATACAAAGCATGTTACATAGTAGACACTTAACAAATGCTTCCTTCCTTCCTTCCTTCCTCCTTTCTTTTATTCCTTCCGAACTGATTCACTATCTCACTCTTCAAAGAAGCTATCCCAAGCCTTTTCTTTCCTCCTCCAGTCTCCCACATCTCTCCCTCACCCCTATCTCACCTGAGCACCTTGACTCTTACTTTATAAAGTTGAAGCCATGTCACATGAGTTCCCTCTTCTCCCATTCTCTTCCTCTCAAAAACCCTTGACATAATCTACTCTCTACTCCTTTCCTCCAGTTTCTAACAAAGAGATCGACCTTCTTGCTAAAGCCAACTCGTCTACATGTGCACTTAATCTCAACCCTTACCAGATTACAGCTTTAATAATCCTCTCTCTCATGAATCTTCAACCATCTCTACCTGTTGGTTCTTTCCCTACTGCCTTCAAACATACCGCATCCTTTAAAAAGAATAAACCTTCAGTAAACCCTGCCATCCCTTCATGCTATCGTCCTTTATCTCTCCTTCCCTTCTTGAAACTCCTTGAAAAGGCTGTCTATACTTGTTCCCTCCACTTTCCCCTCACTGACTCCTCAACCCTTTGCAATCTGTCTTCTGACCACTCAACTGAAATGGCTCTCTCCAAGGTCACCAGTGCTCTCTTGATTGCCATTCCTGATAATTTTTCCCCAATCTTCATCCTTCTCAGCCTGTCTACTACATTTGACATTGTTGACCACCCTCTCCCTCTACACTCTCCTCTCTGGGTTTGTGTGACTCTACTCTCCAGGGTCTCCTTTTACCTGTCCTTTTCCATCTCCTTTGCTGGATCATCATCCCTATCATTTTCCCCTGTGGGTGCTCCCCAACATATAGTCCTAAGCCTTTTTTCATTCTCCCCCAACCCTCTCTCTCTCGATAACCTCATCAGGTCCCATAGGTTTAACTATCACCTCAACATAGACAACTGACAGATCTATACAACCAGCTCAAATCTCTCCTTTGTGCTTCAGGCAGCATCACCAACTGCCTATTGCATATTTCAAACTGGATGTCCAAAGACTTTTCAAATGCACACATCCAAAACTGAACTTGTTATCTTTCTCCAAAAAAACCTTCCTCTCTCCTAAATTCCCCTATATTTGTCAAAGGCACTACCGTCCTTCCAATCTCTTAGGTTCTACCCTTGGCATTATTCTTAACTCTTCACTTTTCTTCTCCTCACATATTCAATCAGTTGTCAAATCATACTCTTCCTATTTCCATAACATCTCTCACATTCAGCCCCCTCTCTCTACTTACACAGGTACCACCTTAGTTCAGGCCTTCATCGCCTCTTTGCTAGGTTATTGCAAAAGTCTAATTTGGTTTCCCAGCTTCCATTCTCTCACCACTTTAATCCATTTTATATCCTGCTGCCAAAGGGATCTGCCTTAAGTACAAATATGATCCTATCATTCCCTTTCTCAACCAACTCCAGTGGCTTCCTATTGTCTCTAGGATAAAATATAAACTCCACTGTTTACCTTTTCAGCTACCCATCTGTGAAGTAGAAAATTCCAATATTCCCAGCTGGGGAAGAGCCAGTTTGGGTTCCACCTGGAAGCTGAGCTATCCCTGAAGAAGTATGCCTCAGACTCCTCCTCCAGGAAAGGCCACATCTCCACCAGTTATCTGTCCTTTTCCTCGTATGGGCTCTGCCCCTTAAACAGCTAGATTCTGGCTTGATATCCAAGAACATAAAAATCCTATGTCTCCACAACTCCTCCAGTTAAAGCAATTAGGTGACAGGAGAATGTAATGACAGGAAGAAAAATAAAGGTCAGTGCCAGGCAGTTGATGGTCATTAGATAAAACTATATTTTTCCAATCCAGACTGTTCTGCCCCTCCTTAGGCAGGCTGCTGGCCCTCCACTCCTGTGGCTTTAGGTCTAATGAAAGTCAATTCAAGCCTCCCCATGTATCAAGGATTACAGGTCAATGCCACCAAACCTGGATCAGCTAGGATTTTAAATGATGGCTTGAAAATCTATTGTAAACCTCTAGTCTTCCTTGCTAGTTTCTTAGTAACTGATTTCCATTTTAAATAAATGTGTCACTTTCTGAGGAATGACAGGAATTTGAATACTCTTCTTTTAAAAATGTCTCATTTTTATTGTATTAATTTTTCTTTCCCAGAGGAATCAAATAATCCTCCCTTTTTGTACCATGCTACCTCTCGAAAACAGGCTTCTCAACCTACCCAAGTTAGTTAGCCAGTCAAACCAGTCTTTATTTTGTGCTTACTAGGTGACAGGCACTGTACTAAGATATTAGTCATAAGCACTATAAAGATATACATAGAGCTGTTTTGTGTTTTTGTGAGATCAAAGGTTCTCGACCATTTCTGTGTGTCAAGAATTCCTTTGGAAGTATAGTCAAGCCTACAGACCCTTTCTCAGAATAA